TAGGTATACTAGAGTATATTATGAAGTTGGACTAGTTGGAGTATATTATCATAGAGTAAGAATATATCAATCAGCCGAATAGCACATGGGTACGCGGGTGCGTTGGTGCGCAACAGGTATGCTGCAGCCTGCGTATAGTATAATATAATTAAGTACATATTATAATGAAATACGCGACTTTCGATGTTGTAAAGGCGCGTATTCGATGGATAGTGATCTCGTTACAGTCTTAATAGTATCACCGAGAATTATTTGATAATATATTATACTTGAATCTGAAAAAATTTATCCATATTCACTATACCTACAGTATTATTATTCGCTGCGTATCTTTCGTTATATTTTATTGTTATGCGCATATATTTTAAACTAAGATTATAATATATACCTATCCGGCTTTATACATAATATAAATATATTATGATTTTGTTTTCTCGGGATTAATAAAAAATTAAATTTCGAAAATATTGAAAATTTCGAAACTCGTAGCTGTCGAAGATACCTACTACATAAATATTATATATATTGCGTACATGGACGGGTCATCAAAATTCAGCGTATGCACATATGCATAAGAGACAATCACTACAGGCTCGACTTAATAGCAGTTTTCTCCACTCGTTATAATCCTATCTTTGTCGCCATCTCCATTACAATATATAGGCATTAAAACAGGCTATGATGATGGCGTCCAAGTGGCAGCAATAGTGTCGACTACGGAACGAGCAAAAACGCTGTAGTATGTATAGGCATATGTAGTTTATTGTCGAATTTGAATATTCAAATGCATATTTTATGATATTGCAGACGAAGCAACATAATGCATCAATCGGACACCCGTGTAATGGTATAACGATTCCGGATTTTGAATAGTGGTATTTCAGGATTTCGTAGCGGTAAAGCGATTATGAAATTCGAAAAAAATAATTTGAGAGCGTCACACCAACACGCGCCTACCCGTTACATGCAGCCGCGGTAGTAGGTACGAAACTACGAAATGTTTACAAAAGTTGCACAATGCACACGACTTTATATAGGCGTAGTGCGTACTATATTATAATATTTTAATAACGAGTGTGCGCGTATAATTTATTGTTGGTATAAAAAAATAACGATAGTAAAAAATTATCGAAAATAAAAAAATTAAAAAAAATACAGGTCGAAGAACGTCGAAAATGGCCTAGTATTTACTATTTACATCACACACGGCCGAGCGTGATTTATACACGACAAACACGTCTGAAACAACAACTTTGACGAAAACTGCCTATCGATTTACATCACACGCACATAATAATGATAATATACCGCGTACGATTATGGTGGTGACCGGACAACAACATACAATTTCCAACGAAAATAGACAATTGATTTACATCATACGCGTGCAAGTAAAGGCTATTCGATACGAAATCTATACGATTAATGAACAATACACGTCGAGAGTAAACATCACCATTAAATCATTACGATGATGATGATGATGATGATGACTACTGCCTGCGGGTGCTACTATGGTCCATGATATTGGGCTATAGCACACCATCATATGACTAACTTTCGTAATATTTTTTTTAGGTCTGCTCAGATCGTGTACACAATTGGTTAATTTATTCGTATTCTAAGTATGTATAATGTAGTATAAGGCATGTTTAATATAATATTATTATAGTATAGGTAGGTACCTATACCTATCTATGCAAATTATGTCGACAAAATATTATTTAAATGTGAAATGTCACGAATAATGTATATTATTACCGGCCCGCTTATATTGTGTTTCGGTCGCATTACGATATTCACTTTCATCTCATAGTGCCCACGTTATCTATAAAAGCGACACAATAATATGCTCGCGCGTGCTAATCGAAACATTTCACGTTTATATAAAAATGTTTAGTAAAATATAACAACACCATGGTTTTTCAAGCAAAACGTCTCTATAAATCGTTGGTTGATATTCAAAAATCAGAGTCTACAGCAGTAACCTGCAGGGCCGTCATTAAATTTAATATTGTTTATTTTGTGAGGGGAAGTGGGATTGTGGTTAGAGAAACCGATGACTTAAACTAATGAATGCAAACTGAAGAATATTGTTCTTACAATGTTCTAAGTATAATATATTGTAATTATTTTCACTATAGCTCCAAATAAGGAAGGTGACTACTATCTCAATTTTTGATTCTAAAGTGACTTAAAAATCAACATACACAAATATTATAATAGTGTTGCTAGATAAAATACAATATGTCTGCTTTGAATCATTTAATTCTTAAATAGATATTATTTTATCTAACCAAGCCTAACCTTAATTAATAATTTTACTATTTTTTTTAAGTGGTTTGATGATATTAAAATAATTATAAAAAAACAAATCAATTACTTTATTAATTTGAATAAATATCTACTGTACATTATAAATGTATTTTATATATTAAGAATTTAATTTTGATTAAAATTTATTTAGCTAAAGTCTTAAAATTTTTTTTGAATAAGTTATATCAGGGTGATAATGAAATTATAAACAGGGATTTTGATTATTAGAAAGTTCCTCATTTCATCTTGGTTCAAATATACAACTTAGAGAATTATACAAAATTATATGCACCATGATTCAACTACATAAGTATATTTGAATAAAATTTCATTTAATTTAAAATTTATTTTTTATTTATTTATGAAATGTATTACTATTTATTTAGGACAACAGTTTCACAGTCACGCGTATCATACGAGTATTTGTATACGCACGCAAAACATTGTTTAAGTTTATACGTGCCACTCCGACGTTGAAACGTATAAAATTGTTAAAATATGGTATTTTATGTTTGTGTTGTATTGTATAGTGTAAAAACATGTAGTATATCTACTATCTTAATTGAACACCGGTTATATAACTAATGACCTATTTCAAAGTGTCTGAATAATTTCGGAAAAAAAATGTAAAGACAAGTTACAACAATAATCCAACTTTAAAGTAATTTAATATTTAAAGTCATGGTACATCCTGATATACCTATAGTGACGAGCAATAATTTAAATTTAAATGAATATAGTTACAATTCCCAGTAAATTATATTCTTAATACCTATCAAATTAATTTTCTAATAATATTAACCAATAATTTTTTTTATTCCACCTGTTGAAAATAATTGTTATACAATGTATATAATCCTTCTCCTATAAAAAACAATATTTTATACAGATAAAAAAATAATTAATACCCACACACATCTCAAAAACACGAGCGGATTATAAGCGTGACTGTAAAACTAGCTTTAATACGTGAAAATGCTTTAATGTCCACTGAATAGTAATGAGTAATTAACAGTTATAAGAAAAACTTGATATTCTGTTTAAAATATAATAATATCCATATAGAGAGAAGAGATTTACTCAATATGAAAATGAAATATTAAATTATTTTAATTGTTTTAACAAAGCCACAAAGTCTTAGTACAATAATTAGAGACCTTGTTACAATAATTGTAAACAATTATAACAGTTATAAAGTCACAAAAATATCTATCATACTGGGAAGTGACCTCACCGTTTTATCCATAAAAAAAATGTCTAACCTAATAGTTAGGTACAGAATTATTATTAATTATGAACAACTTACAAGTATAGTTGTATAGATAAAACTGTAACTATTCACTTTCCAGTATGTTAGATATTTTTGAAACTTTTTATGACAGCATATTTGAATGCAGAACGTTATCCAATAGGTGTTTAGGTATCCCTTATTAAAAGGTCTATGTCATAGCCGTTAAAATACTACATTAGCTTAATATTAATATTTTTGTTATTAGTTGGCAATCGTTAGCTTATGTGAATGCAGCCGATTATAAGGAGTTTTCAGTGCATCCCCCAATATAACCAATCATAACTCAAAACGAATCGAAAGAATCGATTTTAGACCTAGACCCATAAGGATTTTTTTAGCAACCAAAATCGAAATCATAATTTTGGTGTACCTAAAGTTTTTTTCAATTCTTTAAATACGGTTCTTTTAGGTTCCAAAACTCAATAGATAATTATATTTAGACTGAATAACGGTTATATAACTAACACTAATAAAATAGTAGACGACCTGTAAAAGTTAATCAATAATATAAATATTATTATTGAATGTTAATATTATCGTATGATTATGTGTCCTCCATATTTGTCATGAAATACATTTAAATTCAATGTGGTCGATAATAAACCCAGTGTTATCGGGTCAAAATAAATGTAAATTGCAGATTCTATATCGGGTATGGAAATATTTATAATATATTATATTAATAATGTATTATTTTTAAAAGTAAAAACAATTCGTATGTTAATCGTTTCAGAGTTGTTATCGATTATCTAATATACCAGTGCTCAGTGGTAAATAATGACTAATTATTTACAGTATAATATATACCCTATAGTCCCATATAATATGTACCATTAACGTACCAAATCTAAATAGTATATAACATCAAACACGGATCATTCAAGTGTCTGAAATTTGTTTAGAATCGAATACTAAGTAGTACCAAAAGTAGCAAAATCTGTATGACAACTATTTTATTATTTAACATTTTAGAGATAATACGATGCCCATAACTGATCGTCTGAAATACGGTATAATACTACAAATAGCGGTCATTAATATTAAAGTTGGTTCATTGTCTATTGCAATGAGTTGATTTCATTTTACACGGTGCCCATCTATGTAATTACTAAATGAAAAAATGTCTAAAAAATAATAGAAAGGGTTGGACCTAATATTAACCGAAACCAAAGTTCCTTGTTTTGAGAACCTGCAGCAACAAAACCTAAGCCAACATTTTTTGTCAACCGATCCGTAACGAAAATCGTAAGTAACTTACACGCATTAGGTATGTTATATAATAATATGATAGTAATATAGTATATAGGCGCGATGACGGTTCGCTCAAAGTCTACAATATTACATTATTAGGATTAGGTAAAAAAAAAAATAATTAAAAGAAATGCGTAGATACCTTAAACCCTGGATGGTGCAGGTGAACTTGCGCCGGGTTTCGCGATTACTGGCCGCAATCGTCACCGCTGTCGGTAGTAGTGCTCTCTCGTCTCACGCACGTCCTGATGCTTTCGCCACGAGCACGCCGTACCGCTCGAATGGTATATATATATCTGTACAGCGGCTGCTGCTGCTGCTTCCGCAACTCGTGGACGCGCCGCCGTCGTCGCCTTCCGTTATGCTCGAACTAGTCGTGCGCAGCGCTATCGACCGTTCTTCGCGGGCAAAAGCTGTGCCGTGATGAAGCGGAGTGCGCCGGCTAAACTATTGTAATACTGTTATACCGTTGAATTGCAAACACTGGCACGGCGGCCCGGGGATATGTGCGTATTGTATGTGCGTGCACAACAGCGAGTGTCAACAATGTCGAAACGTGCAGCGCGATGCTGCTTGTGCGCCAGCGGCGTGATGCGGCAGCGGTTGAGTGTGTCGCGATGTAGTGCGAGCTGCATGTGGTGCTGGACGTTGGCGATGGTGTTGGCGCGATGACTGCTGCGAGTGCAATGCGGTTGCCACTATATAGTGCGTGCGCGGCCGGATGAATGAATGATCGACGAATACAGAATAATAATATATAGAGCTAGATAATAATATGATCTATACGGCGTGCGGCGGCGGCGGCGTATGTCGGCGGGTCGGAAGGACTTTCGTCAGCCCGCCATACGACTACTGTTATTACACGCGTTATTAGATGCGGTGGTGGTGGTGCAGGTGGCGGCGGTGGAGGTGGCGGTCGCCGATGACCGTGGTGGCGGCCGGTCACTATGTAATATGTATATAGTTTAATATCGCGTATATATAATAACACACATATATATTTAGTCACCACACACAGTATATAGGTAGGTAGGTAGTTATATATTACGTTATATATATTATATATATATATATTATATACTGCCCGCTGCAGAAATCGGTGTATTCAGTGGCGCCCAGACAGGTTAGCAAGGAGTGCAACTGCATGTGCTTTCGTGGGGGGTGGGTGGGTAGGTATAGTCTCTATGGTTATAGGTACCTAGATAAATTATAGGAGTAAACGAGTAAAGTATGACAATGCTATACGACAACTTATATGATGTTACAAGTTACTTATAATTACAACATATTAAATGATAAAGTATTAGAAACAGTAATAATTGTTATTTGTTATATCATCTGAATCAAGAATAATACAATATTCGAATATTAATGTTGTACACTGTTTAGCTGATACGCTCGTATATTTAATATTTAATATTATGAATTATTATATTTTTGTATACGTAATCAAAATGACAATACGGGTAATATGGTGATAAGATACCAATAACAGCGTATATAAGATATTTATTTTTTTTTAAATATTTAAAACCAGAAGTCATTTGTGATGAATATTTAAATTTCATACAATGTTTTGATGTTTTTCTTAAAACTGATGAGTTGCCAAAATATTTANAAATATTTAAAACCAGAAGTCATTTGTGATGAATATTTAAATTTCATACAATGTTTTGATGTTTTTCTTAAAACTGATGAGTTGCCAAAATATTTACATAGTGATAATGATATAGCTAAAGATTCAGATTCTGAATTAGAAACGGAAAATTATGATAACGATGTTGATGATGATAGTGATTCTTTAAAAAATGAAATTGAAAATCATGGAAGTTTGTTACCAGTATTCAGGTAAAAAATCTTGTATTGCTATTTTCTATGTTTTTTTTTAATGTTCTTGTATTCAATATGTTTACTGAATTGTATTAAATTACTTATTTATGTACAACTTTTTTTACAGGGTTTTTATGCGCAATGGTCTTCATACACTATTTCCAAATATTTATATTTTGTTGAAGCTGTCTTTGACCTTGCCAGCTGGAAGTGTATCAACTGAAAGAAGTTTTTCAAAGTTGAAACTCATTAAAACTAGACTACGATCTACAATGGGAAATGATCGATTAGAAGGACTAATGATTATGTCCTGTGAAAATGACATAAACATTAATTATGAAGAAGTTATTGAAAATTTTAGTAAAACTAGTCCATATTTATTTAAAGCTTTACATTAAAAATAAAAAGTGTTAACTGTATAATGTCATTACAAAATCTTATTATTTTTTTTTTTAATTAAAATTTTTGTATTTCATTGAGTATTAAATATGTTATATTTATAATGTATTGTAATGAAATGTAAAGGTAAGATCTAGCTGATCTAGGACGTCTCGGGTTTCTGGTGTGGACATCTTAATTATTATTTCTAGTTATTTTAAGTGAATTACACTTACAGATAACAGTTCAATAAAAAAACGTTTTGTTTTTAAATTTAAAAAAATGGGTGGGACGGGGTGGGTGGGTAACTTTAGATAGTTGCATGTGCTCTCAAAATACCTCTGTGCGCCACTGGGTGTATTATTATACCTACGCGATTACGAGAACGAAATATACAATATATGATATGTATAATACCTATATTATATATTATATATTATGTTGAGCGTAGAGTGGACGCCCGCGCAAATTATTATTATTATTTGAGATAGGTACCTACCAATATAGAAGTAGTAGTAGTTACTCGGAAACACTCGACCTATAACGCGCGTGATCTATAATACTATGTAGGTATGCTTCATAACGACTTTAACCGTATACATAGGTATACATATATACATTGCCCAATTATTAAAATACCATTTAGGCACGCGGTGCAGGCGACGGTCACACACATTATAGTGATATCGATCGATAATGTATTATAATTGATGGAGCGAGGGCCACCTGTATAGGTACGTTGCATACATACGTGAGTACTCGCATACTATCTTTACACACACACACGTGCACTTAGGCAATAATATATAATAATAATATATGTATAGTGTGTGAGTATACGTGTGAATTGTGCGTGTGCGCGTTTGGTACTAAACAGCATAATATAATAAATAATAATAATATTATTATTATTACTATATACCTACTATATATATACCATCGGCGGTACGATAAGAAAATGGCACATTAAATTTAAATAAATTAGCACGTGCGATAAACCTGTACATAGATGCAATAATTGACCCAGTGTTTTATTGTATATGCAATTATCGCACATTACCTATACCTACAGCGCAAATTACCACGTATAGGTACCAATATATTATTATACTGCAGAAAGTGATAACAGCGGCGCCGCTTTGATTTTTCGCACGAGTTGATATATATCTATATTGTTATAAATTTATAATATTTTAGCGCCGTGGCGTTCGAATCGTTCGGTGTATGTGTACTCGATGATGTTATATAACAAAAGTACTGAGCAAATCTCAGTAAGTAATGCGATGTGGGTACGACGAAATATCAACTTGATTACATGACAACTTCTAAAATATAATAAAACGATTGTTACATAATGATAATGTGGTTATTATCGCTACATTATCCGGTAATCTAAGTCTGGATGGTTTATAACGCTCCGTCTCTCTGCAGAAAATAACGGTGAAATGTATAGGTACCTATACAACGGTCGACTAACAATAATAATACAAATATGTTTACAAAGTAAATCATATTTATATATAGTACCTATAACTAGAATATAAGTCTCGTATCGAGTATACCGAGAAGAGGACGCATATTACCATGAAAAAGTGACAAAATATGAGAACGCACTTAAAAGACTTAAAATATATCCTGTATAAAATATATGCACTAAAATCTGTTTTAATGAATAATATGAATAAATAAATAAATTGCTTGTAAAATAAGAACGACTACGACGTGGTCACTACATTAAAAACAAGACACGGACAAAATACATTTGAGACGGTATCCGAGTGTTTACTCGAAATACTCAATCCATCATCATGCATCTTTGACAGTTCGTGAAGGTTTTCAAATACAATCTATGGGTATAGAAGAACGTCTGGTTGTCGTTAGGAGAAATTATGCAAAAATGACTCCAAAAAATGTAATATGCATCAAAAATAGAAGAAAAAAATTCCTAATTATGACATAAAAAGTCGACATATAAAATTGTTCACTAGTATAATATAATTTAAATTTGTCATAAAACGACACAAGTTTGTTTCAACAGTTGGCCTTTTTTGAAGTGACAACCTCTCTTGGAAGACTCTACTCTCCGCTTGATTCATGGGTGTAAAAGCGTGAAAATATCAGCGACACCGACAAACGCAACGCATAACGCTTTCAATTCAATAAATCTGTTACATACATTATATATGTATATGTGTTTGAGAGTGCTCGTCACCGGATAGTAGCTCTTATACCACTATTTTACATAATATGGTTGCCCATCGACAACGGTAAAATAGCTTATCCGACGGTCATCGATATGAATCTATATACTCATAAGTCATAAGAATGCCCAAATTCGAAGATGAATATTTATAATTGAGCCGATGGCAGTTATCTTATAGGTAATAGGTTAGTAAATACCATGATTTAATATAATATACTAGCTAGTATTTGTTACAAAAGAATTAATGATAACTGTCGGAGGCACAGTAATCAGTATTCATGCTCAAATTTGGGCATTCTTATTTTGAACGAAGTATAGGAGTATAGCAGCAGTCGCGTGAGTAACTTCACATGGAGCTTTGGTATCATAAAAAATACATATAAACCAATAATCAAAATGTTTTAGTAGAAGTTTTCACTTCTGAATACCGTCCCAAGACTATAATATTTAGTTATTTTTTTACGATTGCACAAGGCAAATATCAATAAGTAAAGAAATGCTATAGAAGGCATCTGCTTTATGCTTTCCAGGTACAAACTGATGGATTCGGGATAGCCACCGGTCGTGATGAAATGGTTCCGGGTATAAATGTGAAGGTATGTTTGATTATAGACTTAGAATACACGCCGCAGTTAAAAGTTTCCATATGCCGATATAATAATAGTAATATGAACATAGGTTCTTCAATGTGGTATTTAATTGGCTTAGAACGAGTAGGTATACCACAAGCCTGTTTCTAAAATTAGGCAAATGCTTAAATTTGTAATACCGTTTAAGGAGTGTCTAGTGGCGATAACTAAAATTTCTTGATATTGTGACGTATATAAATCTAAATCATTGAAAATAATATGATCTTTAAGTATATTTAAAAATTCTAATGATCAGAATTTGAATTATTTACTCATGTTTATGCTTGCAATGGTGAATGATACTGGATAAATATTATATAAAATATTTATTAATATTAATGTAAATTTATATTTACCTATTACAGTTTACAATAGTTATTAGAAAATAAACCAACTTGTTAGATGGGTCTTAGTTATGCCTATAAAGCAATAACTTAACCTATGATAAAATACATTTATTGGGGAAGTGATCGACTAAAAGAATAAATAAATTAGGCCTCCCTTCAAAGGCTATTTTTTTCATAAATTATGGTATACTATAATATAGTATAATATGCATATTGTGAACTTCCTGGGGGAAACACTTTATATAGCATTATAACGGAGAATGCTTAGCAATTTTACCGTCCTAAACCAAAAGACTATCCAACACAAACTACCAGCGATAACGAACATATTCACCACAGAAAATTACGTCATTCTCGAAGCAATTAAACTGACAATTCACTGCTGGCAACCAACATACTAACTATTAGCGATTCCCTTAACGTCCTAACAGCACTCAAAAACCGGTGGTCCAATTATGTAATCGCCCAAAACACTCAAGCTGAATTGATTGACACACATAAGAACATAGAATTCATGTGGATGTGTTCCCACATTATAATGAAAAGAAACGAGATAACCAACAAAACGGCTGATTTAGCAAATAAAGGTATAAGTACATAAAATAAATTATAACAATATGTTAAAATATGCCTATAATAGTTATACCATCCTCCAATAGTCCGATGACATATTTAGGCACATATTATAATCATAATAAAATGTTCTCGTTGTGGCAACACTATACTGGAGTTCAGTCCCTCACCAACTAACAAACATAAATCTATCAAAGGTTCAGTTAAACAATGGTATACACCTCCTGACCTCCGGAGTTCAGCCATCGTCAAGTCATCACCATTACCAAGAAAAGATTTGGACACACTTTCATTGCACATTTCTTTCTAATTAGCCAAGATCCTCCACCAATATCGTGCAATACGCGTCAAACACGCATCACAATTAAACATATCTTTGAGGAATGTCCAAGATGTACGAATCGACACGCACAATTATTAATCCCCAAAGCAATATAAAATAGTAGAAAATGGTAGAAGCCATCTACCTCGAAAATCATCGCGTTTATTACTAAATGTGATTTTCTAATTAAACTTTAATAACTGGTAAACAATAGCTAATCATACACCAAGTTATATTTATTACGGATTTGGCATGTTCAATATCTATAGTCTGTAGTATATAATACTGTCGGTTACTAGGTTATTAATGTAGGTATTAGCTGGTAATAACCTTAACTGTGTAAAAAAATTTTTACAGAATACTTATTTACAGCTAATGAACGACACGAGACATATACGGATAACCGCACATGCCTACGAGTCTGTGTAAAAAAACTTAAAGGTTTACCAGCGGCTATATACGATGACATAAAAAACACGTGTAACATTAATAAAATATTACATAGGTGACATTGTAATATATTATTTATGAGCGTCTATGAGGGTCTAAATGTGATTATTGCTAATAAAACTTCAATATTGTAAAGACAATGGCCAACCACACATATTGTAAATATCACTAATTTGTCATGTGAAATATCTGTAGTTATAATACCGTTGGCTAATTGGCCTTAACTGTTGCGAATAGTCTGTAGAAGTTCTTAAATAAAATAAAAATTAAATGTATAGGTACTGCAAGTAAGTATCTAATAAACGACACGAGATATACCCATAACCGCGTAGTCGGCTGGTTACCTCGCGGCTGAAATACGTCGATACCAAAAAAAAAAAAAAACGGGTAACATATATTTTAATAATAATACCCACGAATTATAACATAATATTATATATTTAGCACATTATAATATATTATTACATTACACTGTGAGTCACATACCTACTATATATGTGTCTTGCAACAAATCCGCATAGCTTTACGGTCACACAACACCCGCGGCGGCGCGTAAAATTCGCCAACGCTGCCGCCGCAACAGCAGCAGTTGTAGACGTCGCGGGTGTGGTGACCGCAGGCGGGCGGGCGGCCGAAAGTCTACCGGACATGACGGCGCGCCTGGCCATCGCGCGCGCGGTGTCCGCTCGCGATGGCCGTCAAACGGTGCAACGGTCGGGGGCACTTTCGCCACAGCCCGCCGCCGCCGCCGCCGGAGCGTCCCTGATCTACGCGCGGTCACTTCGCGGAGAGTAAATTATGAACGTATAAATAATATAATACCTAATAAT